ATCACACACCCACTTACAGAAAATAACTTTTTTAAAAGAAACATTTCTCTCTAAAAATATTGAAATTAGCTATTTTTTTCAGAATTGGATGGGCTCCAGTTTAAAAAAAAGGTTTAGCTCTCCAGCTCATACTCTGAAAATTCTTATCTAAATTTTAAAATTGTAAATTTCAACCTTTTTTAAAGCTGCGCTTCCCGCGTTCACAAGCTAGCTGGAACATTTTCAAGGATCTGGTTGGATAGAGCTCGAAAAACGAAACATTAGTGACAGTTGGTGACTATGAGATCTTGGATTAAACGGTGTTCTAAAGGTTTTTCAAAAACCCAAATGGTAAAATTTATGTTTTAGCTTCCTGTTGAGCCCTTTAATGGCATGTGATGAAAGTTTAAGATATGGTTATTGACAGAGCTTAAAGGACTCAACAAAGCTCAGAATGTCTATTAATTCATTTTCCATTTGTCCCATCAATAGCTCCCATCAAGTTCGGAGCAAAATTTCATCCGTTATGGATGGACGCATTTGGGTATACACCATTGTTCGTTTCATATTTGCTACTAGATTGTCCGAGAAATTGACAAAAGTGTTGATTCGGAAAACCCTCGGGAATCTTTGATAGAGAAGTCAAATCTGCTTCATATCAATAACTTATTTTTTTAGATCTTCGACGTTCATACGACATCACTACTATCAATCATTATATCCATCAATTGCACCTATTTTTATTCAAAAGAATAATAATAAATCAAAAACTCATTCGGGCGGGAAAGAACTCACTCCCATGCCACTACCGCAGTTCCATGGAAAAGTGTGATTAAGACCTCAGCAGCATCTAGTTTTACTCAAAAATGTTTGCGCTACTCGGCTAAACTGTTTACAAAAAGTTTTCGATCGAATCATGGGAGTTGATTTTGTCGGGTTATCTAAAATCTCGGTTTTCCAGAGATCTGCTCTGTAGGAATTTTAATGGAATGTTCATATGCTCCGCATCTGACTGGAGGTCTTTCCGGCTATTAAAATTACTTTTCGGATTTGTTCTGAGGCGAAAAGCTAAAAAAATAACCCAAACAGTCTAACAGTCACCTTTCCTTTTCTTACATGTTCTATGTTTTGTCACTTATTCATATACAGAAGAATCGATGGAATCAATGGAAAATCTACAATCATTTTGATTGTTCAGCTGGAAAATCCAAACATGGACTGTACTTCTGCAAGAAAAACAAATACTTTATTTATCCAACAAACAACAAAAAATAATCTTAAAAGCTTGATAAACTTAAAAATTCAACAACAAAAAAGAAACAATTCATTCGGCAGCTATGTTTGTCACGTATAATGACAACAGACACTTGAGTGTACACTGTACAGTACCGAGTAAATCTTCAAATCATCTCCTACTATGTTGATTCTATGATATTCAGACATTTATAAAGATAATAGAAAAAAAACCATTGCGACTGTTAACAAATAAGATGACTTGTTGCTAGCTAATGAAATGCCCCACTAAATATTGTTTGAACGAGAATTGGTTCTTTAAGATAAACAGCACATTCTCCATTGCCCATATATTTCATTACTGTCTGATTCAATTTATTATCACACAATGCTACACATGACTTTTGTAAATCTGATTCTTTTTGAATTATTGACAAAAGATCTTGACCAGTTTGAACAGCTGATGAACCAGGCGCTACACCCACTGTAAAATGTGCACGTGACATAAAACCACAGGTAGGATGTAATATTGTCGATTGATGATAACGAGCTTGCTCATAACGAATTGAACAACGCTGACACAACGGTTTATCACTAATTGCGGATGTCGATTGCTGAAAAAAAAACAAGACGAACTTATTACTAGTATAAGCTAAAAAACGGTAATATTTACCAATCCTCGTTCATGTTCTTCAAAATTTTCTTCTACATCAATAATATCAACTTGTTGTTCTTCATCTTCTGTAAATGATCTTACCATCAATGATGAACACATTTCACATCCTTTTTGATCACCTTGACTTCCATTATTTTTATCAAATGCTTCATCATCATTCATATCCCATATTGACCATGTATGTCGTTCAGGAAATATTAAACGTGCGCCCAATGTACGTGGAGTAATTATAAAACTAACAATATAAGCTGAACATAGTTTACCTAATAGATGAGATACACGAACATTTCCAGCATAATCTGTATACTGTCGACGACTTTGATCCGTAGGTTTTCCAATAAATTTTACAGTACAATGGAGAAGTTTGGGCGTACCAATCATATTCGAACGATTTAACAGACTATTCACAGAAACATCTAGATAAAAACGCCAAAGACATACAACATTTAATGATACGAAGCTTGATGTTGTTTAGATACTTTACTTTTTTCTCGACTAATTCGTTCCAAATCTTTTTTTAACATGGGAAATGTTTGAAGTGCTTGATGATAATAGTCGTACGCTTGTTCAATAATTGTCGTCGATTGTTCATGATTAACAAAGAGACCAAAAAAGAAGGGTATAAATGGACGATATTGATGCAAACGTGCTTGTATTGTGTCTAATGGGACCTGATGAATATTATGAGCTAAAATAAAATAGAGATGTTATTTTAAAGAATAACATCTTCAAATATGACTGACTCACTCGCTAGATATTGTGCATTTTTCTTCCATTGTGTTCGTGGTTCAACAATAACAACAATATATCCGTATTGTGATGCTTTTTGAAAATAAAATTTACATTCGTCCATACGAATATTTGTATTATCGATCACAATTGCATTAATACCGGCGCTACAATTAAAGAAGGACATTTCTAACTTATCAAAGAGATTTACAAGGATGAATCGTACCGGCATGCATCTTCTGCATTTCGCTGACATGTCTGATGTGCATCAGATATTTTTGATCGATCAAATTTGTATTCACCTGTTTCTTCAGACATGAAAAAGTGATCAGCTGAACATACTTGACACGAATGAGAATAGATTCTTTTCAAGATATCAACTAATGTAGATTTTCCTATTAAAAAAAGCACAAAATAAAAATTGAAAATGAAATTTATGAGCTAATGAAATTTACCAGAACCGGGTAAACCACGCATAAGAAACATAACCTAAATGAAAATAAGCGAGTAAAAAATCTTTCGAAGTTACCATCACATAATGCAAAATGTCCGCCATTCATTTGACCATGTGGAAGATATTTACACTGTTATTTTAAAATATATCGAGGAGACAAAGCGATTTGACCGATGTCTGATGTTCTCTTTAAATAAATTCTATTTTCCCCACACATAGCCATTCTTCCTTCCCTCTTTTAACACAGTACATCAGTATGGCACCTGCTTTTCACTATCTTTTTTGTTCCGTCATATTCACCCCTCTTTACCCTTTGCAAAGCCTATCATGAGTAAATACGTGCTTGACGATGCTTTCTATTTGAATAAAACAGGTAGTTAACCCAAGCAAACGTAAAATCAGAATGGACTAACATGCTGACTAGTCGGAAGTGTCGAAATGTTTTTTTCAACTAGTTGACATTTTATCCGAGTAGTGGGTATGTAGTCGAATTATTGATTGGTCGTTGCTATTGATCAGTCGAAGTCAAATTGCTGCTCCCAAACGCTTGATTTCTGACTAGTGGAAAATATTTTAGCTTCTGAAATGTTTTGACAATAGATTTTTTTAGTATATTAAAGCAAGAAAATATGATACAGTTACATCTGGAGAATTTTCGATGTACTTAATGAAATATTCGTCGAACTCAAACTGTTACGCCAAGAGACACCAATAAACTGAGTTTTTCGTTGAAGGTTACCAAAGATGTAATATGATATATTATTCCCCCTTCTTCTTTCAAACGAAAGCTTGTAAAACTGCTTTTGAGACATATTAACTCTTTCTGGTCATGTGTCGGACGGTATCCGACATCGTAAATTTGAAATAAGTAAATATGACCTGAAAGAGTTAAAGCTAAGTTCATTCTAAGCATTACATTTATTTAATAACATCCAATTAAAATGTGTGAAAGAACACTTGATTTAAATCAAGTGTTTTACTATCCATCAGTTACTATAAAATAATGTATCATTAAAATTCTTCAACTCTATCTGCTCTTTCTTCAACTCTATCTGCTCTTTCTTCAACCTTTCACATTTTGACCGATTTATTTTTATTCTAAAACGTCGATCACATTCGATCATGATTTTACTACTGATAAAACAGTTTCAGACTAGTGCATTAACAAGAAAACAAAGATTTTAAGCGACGTGTCAACCTTATCTAATCCCGTATTAATCGTTAGTGGTTGTGACTAATAATAACACGAATAATGTTTACTTTTCAACAAACGATTTAGTAAAGTTATTTTACTAGTGGAATACCGTAGAAAGCAAAATGAAAAATTCACAAGTAGAAAAAGAATATTCATCCAACTAGACACGTATTCAGAGAATAGAATGAAAGACCCGTTGGACGGTGAGCAATGATTCTGACATTTAGGGGTAAAAAATGAAAATAATTATTTTTTGATTTCTATAGTTAGAGTTTATAGTTCAATAAATGACGTATTTTTCTCATAAAATAATTTTGTTTGTTTCTTCCATGAAAGTTGGAAAAATGCGATAGAGAAAAAAGATCTGAAATTGCTGACAATCGACTTGAATTCTTTTGTTTTTACCATTTTTAAAGAATGTTCAAGTAAAGGAGATCTCGATGATCTATGTTAACTTATCCAACTTCGGACACTTTTCCTATATAATTGAAGAAAAGATTTTTCATGTGACAAAATTTCTGAAAACTCACTCTTTAATATGACATGTTTTTACATTTTTAATCGAGCTCAATTTTGCACAGGTTCTATTATGATGGTAGTACAAAAAATGAATATTTTTTTCTGAATTTAACAATTACTTGTCTAAAAATCTCAAGCTTTTCATATGAAATACTATTTCTTTTAGCTAAACGAGCATTTTTATTCTAATTGTGCCCGATGATCGTTTAAACTTTGAAGATCTACAGTCACTCAACAGTAGCCTTTATGAATGATTTTGATCTGACACTATGTGAAACATATTCCTATCCTATCCTATGTATTATCGTACCTCTCTGTTTGAAAAAATTACTAAAAAAATTTAGCTATTTAGAGTTTTATTTTTATGCGAAAAACGTACCTGTATGTGAGAGTTCATAAAATTTGATATCCTTAGCATCAGGCACTTTATAGAAGCCATAATGAAAAGTCTTCAACTTTCAGAAAAATTGAGCACAAACGCGTTGACTAAAAATAATAACATAGTCTGAACGGAGCATGTGTATGCTCAACATTTTTAGTCAGAAAAACTTCGTATGATCAATTTTGGCCTTGGCTTCTCAAAGGTGGTTTTCAGAACAAATGTTTTCTTAACATTTCGAGTTTTTCAGGTACAGAAGAAGAAAATAGACTATCAATTGTAGAATGTCAACCGGCTTATAAAAAAAATAGAATATTACTAAAATTAAAGTTTTTTTAGATCACGTCTATCCGTTGCAGTAGATCGTGGCGATGGACTGCCTCCGCTAAGAACGATGCCATACTTTATTCACGAGTATACCAGCAACACATAATGGTGTAATAATTATGAAAAGATAATGATGCATAGTCAAAATTTCACACATTTTTGATCAGATTCCTAATATTTAGTTTGTAAAATTTAAAGAAACTCGCATTTTCGACGATCAATATTAAAATAAGCTTGACCACACTTTTAATCGGAATCTTATTTGACAATGAGTTTGTTTAGTTTTTTAGATTCAATGATTCACTGAAGTTATATACCTTTGATTTTCTGTAATGATCAATGGTTTGTGGACATGTCATGAATGGATAAGATTTTGTGTAAAGATTATCCAGTTGAAATATATCCATTACTTGAGAAAAATTGAAATCAGGTTTTATAGATGGTACTGATTTCTGAAACAATACAAAATAAAACATTTTAAATTATCTTATATTATAATTTATAGACACAAGAAATAAAACTTACTTTTGTGGCAGTATGCGCCATAAAAACAGACTGATATAGCCAATCGAACATGATGAGATAAATTATCTGAAATAAGTAAATAAAAAAAATCACCTTCACATGTTTTATTATCGATTAGATCTCACAGTTAGCACTATCAAAAAATTCTCAGCGTACCACAAAATCATAATTCGAGTTAAATTAACCACAATTCTATGGAGCGAACCGATAGTAACACTGTGATTTAACGAATCTGAGATGGATGAACTGTGTGTGAGTCCAAAAATAAGACAATAGATAAATTTGTACTAGTTTATGGTAACTGCTACCTTTTTAAAATAAAAAAAAAAAAGCAATAAAACTATTAAAACAAATAACTATCGCAACGTTGTATCAATAAGTAGAGTAAAAACAAAGTTTAACTGTATAAAAAAGCACCAAAAAATAAAACACACATCACTAGGATTTGTTTTCGTTGTCGATCATTTCTATTGATATTCTATGTTCGGTATTGACAAATATTTTTACACTCTCTATGAGTATATCGGGATATATTCCATGTTTTAAATTGGTAATCTATCGTTTCGTACCAAATTCTTTTAACATTTGTCTTACAGATACAGTTCAATTTGATCTTTAGTTAAGTAAAGCACACATGGATCTAATTTCTCTGTAATACTGTATTCTCGTCATTAGAGTTGTATATTTGTCGAATGAGAGTGGGCTGGATTGTCCCTACTAAATAAGTTACAAATTTATGTTAGTTCACTCATTGAGAAAGTTATAAACATTTGACATTACATATTTACCTAAAACTAACAATATCATATCTAAGATCTTGAATTAATTTCATTGCATAGTGTGAATCTTTAGCAAAATAGTTCTAATGGTATACTTGATCATTGGTCATTTCTTCTCAAATTTGTATCAAATATGAATAAACATATTCTTCAAACAATTTATCATTTAACGCTTGACAATATAATTCAAATATTTGAATAAGTTGAATTACATTTGAAATTTGTTTTCTCTGTTACTCTATTGTCAATTGTGTGATTAGTTTCAACAAATGATCTAACAAACGTTCACGATGATAATAGAGTCAGCATTTCAGTTTTGACTGATGTCGTCACCTAAACAAAAGATAATCTCAAACTGGACGCTATACAGAGCAAAAGAGTTGTCATTACCTTTGAGATGTATTCAATATGAGCTACTTTTTCCTTCGATACTAAAACACATTGACGTTAATGGCCCTCCACTAAATCTCGTCGAGACATGACCCACTATCTCGTCTTGACAATACTCTCATAAAACATAATCTGAACTTGTTTTAATATCGTACATTTTTTTCTAGCAATTTCAGAATATCCTCTGGATAAGTCACCGATTGTTTCAAACATGGTCATCTTTCAGCAACATTTCCATTCCAAAATGTATTGTTTGTACAAGAACAACAATATCTGTAAATAAAATAGCCGAATCCAAATCAAAACGTTTCACTAGGTTGCAATGTAATTTCTTTGACATAATCGGATGATCAAATGAATTCTAAAAAGTCATGTTTGATTAATAACAGTTGTTTAAATTCTGGTAAATATCAATCGGTTTGTCGCATTATCCACCATACTGAAACACAATCGACAGGTTCACCACGACATACACACAATAACCGATCTTTTTTTTAAAAATCGGAAACTTATGTTTGATCATCTATAATAATAAAACGAATAAGAAATTTAGAATATGTAACAGTAACAAAAAGGAGATGTCATTGAATAAAATTAGAAGTCATTATAAAAAAGGATATATTACAAACGATATTCCAATTCATGAAAATATCTCATTTTAAACAGTACAAGGATATAGAGAAACTAAAACTTTTAAACTCTATCGATGAAAATCAGAGATATTTTCAGGTTTAAAAATGGCATCCGTCCGATGATACTTTTCAATAAAATGTGCTAATGCATGTAAAAACATGAACACAGTTTGTTACAAAAAATAAATAAACTTTGAATAAAAAGAGTGTCACTTCACAGCAAGACTTTAATAAACTCATTTATTATTGTATTCAGCTTTCTGAGCGTTTGTAATCGTATGGTTAATGATCCATAGTCCAAAACGGTAATATATTTGATTGAAATAATGAATTGTCATCTCTTTAATTGTATCATTTAATAATTGAATGACTGAAAACAATTTGCTGATCAAAACAGAAGAAAAACAACTGCAAACAACAAATTGCTGCCATATTTATTTTGTTTAGATTTCCAACGTATTTTTGTCTCCAGACATTGAAAAGACTATTTTAAAATGCAAAATTTTGTGTGAGAATATACAGAAGAGAGAAAATGTTATTCATTTCCTCGTATCGGTTTCTATTTCCATAATCATAATTATTCACTACGTTACATTTTTCATACAATTTTAGTTCCTTACTTTTTATCTTTTCTTTACTTATATAATCAAAAGAGCTTAACTTTTAATGGATTATTTTTCTTGTCAATTGTTTCAGAAAATGTTTTTCTTCACTTCTGTACAATTCATACATCAGATTATAGATGTTGTTCGGCTTAGCACAATGTTGTTGTTCGTTTGTTTACTACAGATCAAACAGCATTTCTTCTGATTATTTTCCAATGAATATGAGATAAAAATGGTTTTTTTTTCCTACTTTTTACTAGATGAGACTCGAATTATTAAAAATATTTTTCAGAATAATAGAAAAAGTATTTATTTAAACAGTTGCGTAATTTCTCGTATTTAATAAATAATTACTGAGTTCTTTTTGTTTTTATTGACTAATATACCTTTACTAACGTTAATGTTCTATTTTAATTGTTTACTAACATAAAACGTGTGTGAAAGAAATAAAAATGATAAAAATACTAGTTCATCTCCATGGAAAAGAGTTCAACTGATATTTCTATTGTCTACTTTAGGTCAGCTTTCATCATGATAATCAAATCGAACGATTTTACTAGTAATTAATTGAAATTCCTTGAGAGAAAGTAATAAAGATAAACAATTCTTGCATCTTCCATTGTATAACAAATTTTCTTATTTACTTTACTTGAAAATATTAAACTATCAAGTGAAAAAGTGAAACTGCCAGCAATCTAATCAAATGAATAAACGAATATGCTAATTTTGAGCAAATTAGTCAAATTTCTTAAAATTTGGAAAAATGTTTTAAAAAATCAAACGGGTAATTCTTATTTTAAACTTTTTCTATAACACCATGAACAAAATATCTAAGCTCAAAAAATGGAAAAAGAAAAAATATACTCATGTTAAATCTATCGTCTTATTGAATTCTTTCCTATGTGATTCATCTCTACATTATTGACACATTTAATGGCCATCGGTAATCTTTTGCCCTGTCCTAATCAACAGTCATCTAGTCTTCGAATTATTGTAGCAATTTATCGATTGATAAATGGATTATCTGTCAAGATACGTTAACACAATTTTTTTTTATTTATATAACTCAATTTTTTGCCATTGACAGCGTCTCTGCGACTCCACACTTAATTGCTGCTACGACCATTTAAAATAAGATTAAAAAAAAAGAATTTTTCTGTTCGTGTTAATGTTGGTGGCTCTACCGTAGTGTGAAAATTTTGCCACAAAATTACATTTAAATTCTATAATATTGGATTCAGCTTTTTTGCAAAATAATTCAAATCTAAGATTTATTTCTAAGAAAAATCATTTACAAGGTCTGAAAACGTCGAGTTCTCATCTACACCTATGTGGAAATAGCGAAAGAAAATGGAAAAATATTGTCTCTTTGTTTGACCATCTATGATTTGATGAGATATGTTTACTTTGAGGACAGTTTCTGCAATATCTTGAATATTCAGAAATTGATATTATATTAGATAACCGTCCATATATCGAATCAAAATTTCATTAGATATGCAGAATTTTGAACTCTATTCGAACTTGAAGGTTTCAAATGATTAAAATTTGTACTCATATCAATGTGAAGAAAAAAAAATAAAAGTTCATTTTAAGTCGAGAGAAAAGTGCTGTTTTTTACATATTCAGCACACGCGATAACCCAGAAGGTTTTCCTGTTTTTTTGACATAAAGAATACTGGCAAAAGTTTAAGAAAAATTTTGAAATGAATATTTTTTTTACATTTTGTTCGAAAAGTTTTTTTAAACTTTTGCCAGTACCCTTTGTTAAAGATAGAAAATCTTCTGAATTATTGAGTGTGCTGATACACGAAAAGGCAATTTTCCATGACTCTACATGTAAGAACTTTTGAGAAATATTTCCTAGTAAATGTACTGGAGATTGGATACTTGGGCACTTTATTTAAGTTCATCTGTAGCAAAATTCCAATTGTTGCTGCGATAAAAAACGGTAAAATTGCGCAGTTCACAACGAGATTGCTAAAAACTCGTGTTACTGTATTGTAAAAAGTTGCGACTCGCAGGAAAACAACTTTTTCCTGCATGTATCTTCCCGATCATCGTCTACTCTCGTATACGTGCTGCGGACCTTAAGAAGGGGATGCAACGGGATAAAAATAATTTCTTATTTAAGAAAAATTATATTTCACGTCGGAGGATTTCACTGTTCGTAAGAAAATTGTATAAGCTTTAAAATGACGCGCAAAGTATGAGTAAATTAACAAAACGCTAGAACTCTAAGTGAAAATTAATTCTCAGATAATTTTAATATAAGTTGGATTCTATGAGTTTTTGCTGCAGTTAACTGTTTCAATCTAATCGTCTCAAACTTCTTGTCTCTTTGATTATATAGAGAGAGAAAATAAGCACAAAAAGAATAGACAATACATCCTCGTATCCTCGATGTAGACTTATTTTGTTGTTTGTGATTTTCAGAATGTAATGAAGATCAATCTGGTTGTGTTTGACGCACAGGTCATTTTTTGGAATGTCCATATTTAAGCATTTACCTAAAAGTTCAAGGGTGAGTGTTCTCTTTACATACAGAAAATGTTACCTCATAAACTAACCAAAAGACATAATCTTTCCAGGCACTTTTATTTTCAGATCAGACTCAGTCACATATCGAACTAAAATTGAAAAATACACAGGATTAAAACATAAAAAATCTATGATTGGAATTTTTTGAGAACTACTTGTTACAAATCCATAAATGAGAGTACACATAGACAATGAAAATTATTGTGTTGTATATAGGATCATTCTAAGTGGGGACTGACATCAATATATTCCGGTTAACTTTTATTTTACACATATTGTAAAGCAAATTTTCCGGACTATTGAATCATACACTCCATAATTGTATCAAACGTGAGAAGAAAGTTGCAAAAAATAAATAAGAGGTGATTCTACAAAGTTTAAGACACTTTTGCCTTCTATACTCAACAGTAACAACGAGAATAAATTTGAAAAATAATTTGAGTAGTTCAACTAGTTTTCTATTAGGAGAGATGTACGCGAAATCAATTTTGATGAAAATAGGTTCTCTGGAAAACTAACCAGATCCAGATCTATGAATTCGATCGGAACTCTCTCTAAGTAGTTCAGTCTTATAGAGAAATAAATGATGTAATAATAATTATATACTATTGAACAAAATGAGATGTGTCCGAGCTCACCATGATCTTGTTTGAACGAACTGCACATTCAATCTATGAAAGATCCCAAAGGCAATTTCTTATTGTTTTTCCTAAAAATTTCAGTAATAATTTTGCTGCGTTGGAGACCTTAGGATTCATTTTGTTTTAACGTCCTAAGTCTTTCAGTCGTATAGATTAAATATTAGTCTATAAGACTGAACTGCTTAGAGAGAGTTTCCGATCAAATCTACACATCTGGATCTGGTTAGTTTTCCAGAGAACCTATTTCCATCAAAATTGATCGAACTTTCGCATATACCTCGTCTAATAGAAAACTAGCTGAACTACTCAGATCGTTTTTCAAATTTATTCTCGTTATTACTATTGAGTATAAAAAGTCAAAAGTATCTTAAACTTTGTCCCACACTGTAGAATCACCTCTCATTTGTTTTGCAGCAGCGTTCTTCTCACATCTGATACAATTATGCAGTGTATGCTCAATTCACGTACGACTCCCTGCTGCTTTTGAAAATGTTTGCTTTTTCCGCAGCAAAATTTGATAAATGTTCTTTTCCCTGCGTAGTAGCAGTAATTTGATACGAATTTTTTAACAGGAACACAACATTATTTAACAGGAAAATTTTAAGTCACCCCCTTCCTGTTTTTGAGCCCTCGCTACGCTCCTAATCCTACGTAGTCTCTGACACGAAGATTTTCATATGATAAAAATACTTTTCAACTACTTCTGAAACCGTTGATAAGCAACAAATAGAATAGAACAATTATCAATCCTATGCGGCTCCTTCCTATATAGAATAAATACATAGAAGACAGCGCCATGGCTAACTTTTTGTATAATAACAAGTGTATTTTTCTTAGATCAGACAGTTGTTGTTACTATTTTAATAGGAAAAATGAAAATTTTATATCTTACGAACTATCTAAAGAGGATAGAATTTGTTGACTGATGAACATTTTTATATGCACACAAAATCTAATGTCCAAAACTATAGTTCTTGAGGTGTAGGAGTCCGATTAAAATTTAATCATCGTTATTTAAACAAAATCTATTCATCCCGTTTCATCGTCATTTAGCGCCCTCCGTGTCAACAATTTTCTTACTCTTCTTTCTTGTGGGAAATGCATGGAATAATATCACTTGCGTATCACACATCATCATCTACTCGATTTTGTAATTAATCGACATCACTTTGCCATGAATATTATGTGGAAAACTAGCGTCCTCTACGCCGTAAAAATTGAATTTAAAACTTAAATTACTGTTATATATTTAGAAAATCTAAACAAGATTTAAACACTCATTACTAGCACTAAGATTATTTTTCTTCTTTAGCATACTGAGAGTCCACATATTTCATTTTTATTGGTGATATATTATTGCCCTTTTTCTGTTGTCTGTCGTCCTCGTTAAGCGCAACCGAAGAATGAAAGTAAACGAAAAAAAAAAAAAATTATTCCTTCATTCATTTTTATTCTTCATCAATTCATATATTTTTATTTTCTTTCCTTATGTGTATGTTCTTTTGCTTTTATTTTACCGAAACTAAATATCTGTGTTTGATTTAGAAACAGAACAAGTAAATGCATTTTTGACACTGTACAATTTATCTTCTGGAAGAACGGTTGTTATTTAGTCATATAGAAATTATAATATTTCCTGTTCTACATGTCGATTTTTTAGATAATAACTTACGTTCTTCGTTCTTCTTCTTTATATATTTTTTCTAGTAATATTATTTTATCGATTTCTTTTTTTTTCCCAATAATATGACAAAAAAAAACGAGCAGCAGCAAACAAGCGCTGTCTCAGTTGGTAGCAATGTTGTTATTGTTCATCAATCACATCAAAATGATCTACAACATCAACAAACACCACAAATTCTTATGCCATCAATGACAAATTCAGCACCAATGATTATTACAACACCATTAGCCGTTCCATCGGGTCTTATTATTTCTCAACAAGCAACGACACAACAATTACCTACAACACAAATAATGCAAAAACAACAAGCAGTAACTACCGTTCAAACTACCCAACAAGCATCAACAACAGTAGTAAAAACATCAAAAAAATCAGCAGAAAATCGACTTGTTTGTGGATTATGCAATAAAATTTATCGATCATCGGCTGGTCTGAGATATCATAAACGAAAAAGACATCGGGGTAGGTTCACTATCCATACGACTAAAATAATTAGTTATCAATATTAAAGATAAAATATATACAGTTTTTCTTGTTCTGCGTATGTAATCGTACTCTGTGAAAACACGTGCTGATCTATATTTGTTCCATCCTCTTGATATTGTGCCATGTATCTCTCTCTTTATTACACGTGTCTGTAATCTCTGACTTTGCTTAGTAGGGCGGTGGATGACCATGTCTGATGTCCAAGATTATAAACAGTAAGAGTACAACACACATATCAGTCCACAGGATGAGGAATCGAATATTCCAAGTTTATTTTTGGATAATTTAGTCCAAAAGTAAAATTGATGCTTTAAAATTCATAGTTTTAGTGTTCGATTTCAACAACTGTGTAGTATTTATATCTGTTCTATTCTAATTCCTTCCTTTCTCAAAGACAAATCTTAATAATATGATGTTTACAGAGTAATCCATTTTTGAGTATAAAATAGAATTCACTAAAATTCATGTGTTCATTTTTTAATATGAGATGTTTTTCATTCATTTTAGGTATGCTAAAACCGACCCAACTCCATCGTGTTCGATGTTTAGAAAGTGGATGTGCTTATCAAATGTTGGCCATAAGTGATCTTAGAAATCATTTAGCTAATCATCATATAAAACCAGAATATAAAACAACAGAAGAAAAGAAATTTACATCATTTACCGGTATGTGTTTAGAGCATGTATCTCTCTAAGAAGATACAATTAAAACTATATCTTGTAACAGAAAAAAAATAGAATGATAGGGATAATTTCTGTTAGTTCGTTCCTACTTTTAATTATTATTTCTACGTTTCTCTTGATTTTTCTTTTTGTTCTTTTCTATTCTATGTCAAACTGTCAGCAAGGGAGAACTTATTTTATTTATTCTCAGTAGAAACATTATATTTCATAAAGTATCTTTTATTTACTTATTTTTGGGTTAGTTAAACATTAAGGAGGTAGATATTTTTTTTTCTTTTAACATCTCAATATAATCAGATATGAAATTATTTTAAAATTTAAAAAGTCTAATAATACTTGCTATATCTATGTTTTTCATTACTACATCAAAGTTTATACATAAATTACAAATTTTTGTTATTTATTTTATTTCAGATTTTACCGAATGGAAATCAGCATTCGAAAATCTAACGGGTTCTAAATATGTTAAAAATTGTGGTGCCAAAGGTAAATCAGAAAATCAAACAACCGAATATTATTATTGTAATCGTACAGGACCATATAAACAAACTCGTCAAGGTTGGAGACGTAATTCCAAAACATTAGATGCACTTCGATGTGGTATTCATTGTACATCATCGATGAAAGTTGAAATTGGTCGTCAAGAACAAATAACAGTTCAGTATTATCCAACACACTATGGACATACGTCAGAACCAGCTTTACAAGCACCAACCACAAGTGGACAACAACAAACTACCGAAGTTGTATAACATATTTTTTTATTCTTCTTTTTCTCCTAAAGGTTACGGTTTATTATAGTAAATTTTAGTTGATTAGATCGGATCGAGTAGATCAGTTACTGTGAGGAAGTTATTAACAAATTAACATTTTATCTAGTCAATTTTTGTAGATATTACATGAGATAAGAAACGGTCACAAAACAAAAAAACTTTTTTATAGTCAGTTTTATGATTCACTCAACTTTCATCGAAAATACTTTTTCACCCTTAGTTCACGATTTATCTCCTGGACGAACTTTCCTATGCACTCTCACGGCTCTGCTAATTGCTAAATCTTATCCTTGCTTAAGCTTCTTACCATACCTTATAGTAAAAAAATGTCGATAAAATAGTTTTCGATGAAAGTTTGCCGTACTCAATTTTATAAAGATGTTAGACCGATTGAGTAAAAAACTAGCAAGAGAGGGTTACATTAACGATCATACGAGAAATAACAAAAAAAAGAGAAATGCCTCGCTATACTGTGCGAAAATGCTGAAAATGAGGTACTGTTCTCTATCGTATCTCAACATGGTTAGCTAAGAAATCATCTCATATTTTATGTCGATCGGTCTGCCGCTTGGTTGCTACATTTATATTCTATTTTTTATGTAATTTCAATTTTTTCTGATCCTATTCTAAATAGGCATACTGGTATATGTACGTACATACATTCATTATTTCAGAAAAATGAATTTTTATGTCAAACTACATCTTTTGCTATATTTTCTTGACTTATTTGATTTGTGTATTCTACTCATACCATTTAATTCTAACAAGTTGGTTAGCTATTTCTTTTACTCAATTTTTAATTTTGTACCAAATATACATACAAAATAATGAGATTGAACGAAAAAGAATTATTTATACAAACAAGAAATTTTGAGAAAAGAAACCAAGAAACATTAACACATCATTGGTTATTGGATTTCCCATATCAGTTTTTTTTAAGGATTGAATCTGAAAAAAGGTTTTTGATATCGTTTAAATTCTTCTAATAAATATGTACATTCAACTAAAGCCGAAGTATTCGCGTAAAAATTCGATTTATCAAATAGGCAATGATTTATTAATGTTTCTTGGTTTCTTTTCTCAAAATTTCTTGTTTGTATAAATAATTCTTTTTCGTTCAGTCTCATTATTTTGTATGTATATTTGGTACAAAATTAAAAATTGAGTAAAAGAAATAGCTAACCAACTTGTTAGAATTAAATGGTACGAGTAGAATACACAAATCAAATAAGTCAAGAAAATATAGCAAAAGATATAGTTTGACATAAAAATTCATTTTTCTGAAATAATGAATTCATGTACATGTGCCAGTATGCCTATTTAGAATAGGATCAGAAAAAATTGAAATTACATAAAAAATAGAATATAAATGTAGCAACCAAGCGGCAGAACGATCGGCATGAAACGGGAAAATGCTCCCTAACTGTATTATCAGAGTGACATTCTGCCAGGATCTTTTCGTGTTTTGCCTTTCTGGTAATTGCTGAATGACAAGATGTCCAGAGATCATCTCAAAATCTCCGCTACGCTTTTCTCTTCAATATGAGACATCCCAGAGCTCTGGGCATCTCGCCATTCCGAAATTATAAGTAAAAACTCTGGAAGAATGTCCCTCTGGTAGCACGGTTAGCTGACTAAGACGATTCGGTAGTTTATTCTACTCTTTTATCGTTCTCATCAGATATGATGCAGCATATGAGTTAGTGCGACAGAACGAAGTTTGAAGTGACTATAACATTGAGAGCGTCTACTTGTTTCTACAGAGAGCAGTAACATTTACACGGGAAATATTTATGCCGTGAAATGTTTCTTCAACATTTACTTGCTTCAGCAGGATTTTTGATAGAGAAGTGATATTTTTACAAATGGTATGAGCAGCTAAATGTTGTAAAGAGTTTAGAGGATCGTATCACAAAAAACCTTAAGTCAAAGTCTAGATTTAAGTGTATAAAATTAGCACGTAAGTGCATATAACGAAGACTTAAGTCAGACTTAAGTTTTTTTGTGATATGACCCTCCAGAGACTTAAGATAAGTTTTAAACAGTTTTCCTTATCATTGACTAGTCAAATCAAATACTTATTTTATATATTTTTTTAAATTTTAGGTGATGGATCATCAACAACAGACTGTTATGGTTGCCACTGATCAAATACAACAACAACTTCAACATCAAGTTCAACAATCTTCATCGGATCACTGTCAACGTTTACAACATGTTCATCAACCGCAACCATCTTCTATTATTATTAACATTGCTCCAGTTAACACAACAATTATTAATAATATAAACTCTACAACAAATACGATTACAATTAATACGAGTGATTATAATCAAATTAAACATCCACATTTGGGCATGAGTTCTGTAACCGTAAAAAATATTGTACACGAATGTATTAAAGTTAAAGATGAAAGAATTCAACAGTGATACTGTTTTTTTCTTCTCTCTATTCTTTTCTTTTACTACATCTAAACATTCGATCATTTTTTTTTTGACATAAAATTATAATGATGACAATTCAACGATGAGACACGAGGAGCCGGTGGTATACTTAAAGAAAAGTATCCTTTTTTTTTTTATATATAAACATTGGCTTTTTATCATGACACAGACATGTCATTCATTTGTCTTCTATCTTCTATTTTTTGCCTTTGAACTTTTTTTTTTTTCTTTGTGCCTGTTTTCACGTGTGAATATGCTGGTGGGTTTTATTTGTCTTGTTTTTTTTTTCTATAGAGCATGTCCTCTCTCTCTCTTTCTCTCTTGTTTGTTTATTTGTTTTTGTTTTTGTTTTTCTACGCAGACAGATGAACATTGTACATATTCCTATTCATTATTATCTTTAATATTATTCTTATTATATAAACATGAAAATTTTCTTTCATCTGTCTTTTTCTTTCAAAAAAAAAAAAATAATATAATATATAGATAATCTGGCAAATTATTTTGTTTTATATAGATTTTGTCGCGCAGAGATCATTGGTGATCTTAATTAGTGTTAGAAGACTGCTCTTTTTAGAATAAAAGATATGTAGCTTAAATTTTCGAGAAGTAAGCTAAAAAATAGACTTTTGAAATAATTCGTTGCTAGCCTACTATAGCTTGTCTTTTGATCATTTTTCTGTAATATTGCAGTAAGAGTTAAATTTCGTGAGAGGAAACATCTGTACATATAAATTGTGTAACTCGACAATGTTTTGCCTCGTGTACATGTCGAAGAAATTCTCGTTTAAAAAGTTATACTAGAAGAAATGTAACATTTTTAATGAGTTTTATTCATCGCCGTAGCAAAGGTTATATAGAACGAAGTGCAATGAATTATATTTTTAAACTGATGTTTGAAAGAGAATTGCAGTAGAAAGTTCACTCTATTGGTAAAAAATAGTTTATTTATTCTTCTCTCAAAAGGACAGACATATTCCACTGGATTTTGAATTGAAATTGCAGTATTGGCCTCGTCTGTCAGAATAAAGATTTATGTTATTGTGTATAGAAGAATAGGATTTAAATAATCTGCATTCTGAACATAATGACATACATAGAGATTCGAAAATAGCTCAAAAATCATTGATAATAGGCTAAATGAAGACGCTTAAATAGAAATATATTTGTCTACATGTCTAAATTCTCTTGATTTTGATTGAATGATTTCTAAGAATGTTTCTTCTGATGGAAGAGTAATTCTATATGTTTCTTTTATCTCTCTGTTTTAGATCAATTTTTATTTTTTTTCGTTACATATTCTTTTTCCGTTTGTTCTCTATTTCTTGTATAATTTCGTTTAATCGAATCAATGAAATGACTAAAAAAGGTTTATCACCAGCATCATCGTCAGCTGCGTTAAATTCATCAGCCGTAAATGAAAATGGATCACCTACTAAAGAACCATCAGCCACAGCACAGGGCCGATTTGTTTGCAGTATGTGTGCAAAAGTATATCGATCAGGAGCTGGTCTTCGATATCATAAACGAAAAAGACATCGTGGTATGTATCTTCTCATTGTTTGTTTAATAGGAATACAACATTTATATCTCGAAAGAAAATTTTATAATTAAAATTAGAATAGACAAAAAGATTCTAATTGTTTCTTCAATTAGATAAAAATGTATATTTACATTTATATACAGTTGTATGAAAACTACAAACATATTGTAATTGTACAAACTGTTTGTGAACATTGATTTGTTTACAAAATAAGATATTTTACCCAGTTCTGTAATTCATAAGCTATATAACTGTTGTATGCCTAGTTGCTTCAGTTAAACATTTCTTTTCTTTATTTACAAATATTTATCGTTTTTTTATTTTTTTCTCGATGTTTTATATTCAGGCATGGTTGAACCAACCGCACTACATCGTGTCAAATGTCAAGAAATGGGATGTACATATCAAATGTTAGCTATTAGTGATCTAAGGTAAATAATTGTGTAAATTTAATACTATTTGATGTTTTAGTTTGAAATCGTAACATTTTGTCTATTTATATATTATCACGTATTATCAAAACAAAAAAAGTTTATTGTTGCTTTGAATTTCGAGTATTTGTCAGATGTGTGAGTCAGTTTAGAAGAAGGCACCTCGTTAATCCTGATTTGTCCACCTGGGATCCGTACGGATCCCAGACCAAAACGAGTACTTTGAAGATATGTCTTGCTGCTCTGCCAGATAAATAATGAGTGGATGCAATTAGTTCATATCATTGATAGTACACCCTATTGTCATTCAATAGAATATAAAGTGAAGCAGTAAAATCTAACCGTTGTGTTCAGACAGTATCTAAATAAAATCGGTCGAATTTGGGCATAGTATAGGTGGTCGGATCCGGGTTAAAGAGTGTAGTGTTCCTAAGTATTCCAAAGGAAAAACACATACATTTCATCGGAAATGTTTAAAACTTTTACGCTCAAGTGGAAAAATATGACCCTTTTGTTTGTAAAATTAAATACTTTTTTTTTGGTAAAGAAAATTCATCTCTTTTATTAGTCGAGTCATAGTGTATTTATCTATTTTTGTTTAGAAATCACTTATCAAATCATCATCAAAAACCTGAATATAAATGTACAGAAGAGAAAAGGTTCACATCCTTGTCAGGTATGTATATTTTGAAAATCGTATAATAATTAGCAGTTCATTTTCAGTTTAGAGAGTTTGAAAACTTCTTTTAACATTTTGCTGAGATATATCTGTAATAAATCACTTTTTTTTCTCTTTTGTATTTGATGTTTTAGTAACCGGAGAAAGTTAGACATATTTAAGCTAAGTGTACCATTTGGTAACTGAGAGGATAAAATGTCATTTTAAGTGTGTACACTTGTGACCAAAGTGTCACTCTAACGTACTAAGGTGTGACACTTAAAGTTGTATTCAGAGTGGCTAAGTGACAATTAAAATGACTGCTACCATTTTGAAGTATGTACACCTATTTCACAAATTTTTTCTTCCTTATTGGTAACACATTTTGTGAAATCGAGTAGAATCAAGAGCGGAACACGGAGAGCGGTCGCTTCTCTCAATGAAAATACAATTAGCTATGACTTCTTCAAACAGTTCTATTATCACTACTGTAATTAATTTGAATATGGCATATTTACCGGCTTTCCAACGGTCCTTTCAGAAAAAAGAGGAACATTAAAATTTTTTAGGACGAGTGTTCGGTAAAAAAGAGGAAAGAGGCTTTTTTTTGATCGAAAACGGTACTGACAATGTTGTGTACACGTCAGAGTGGCTTGAGACTCTCAAAGAAAAGATTTCATCGTACTTAAAGTATTTTTTTCCGTGTTTCACGAGTGAAAAACTAAGAATAGCACAGGAAAAAGGAGTTATTCTAGTTTAACACAGAAACATATCTGACTGTTCAAATAGCATCACTAACAAATGTGATAGTTTCTTTCAACTCTCTGATTTTTCAACGGTGTTTATTTTTCTTCATATGCTGTACTGTTGACTGCCGTCCTTTGTTTCCATAATCTAATTCGCCGGTTTTACACAATGCATCATACGAATGTTGATTCCTTAGCATCTTGCTTTAATCATCGCTCGACAGAGACTTCATCTACTGTTTTCTGTGACCACGAGTGATTGAATTTTGTTTCATATGACGCCACTGATAAAAAAAATATATCTGAAACTACTTTCAGATAAAAAAAATAGCGTGAATTCTAGTGCTTTTGCTAAAAAATCCGAGAACAAGAGGTAAATTAGCTCAAAAAGAGCAGAGATCTAGGATTAAAGAGGAAAAAGAGAATCATTCACAAGCCAGCATATTTAGGATAAAAAGATGTATCGATATTTTAAAATTTTATTGAACAAATGTTTCTTTTTCTTTCTTTAGATTTCACTGAATGGAAATCATCGTTTGAACAACGTACCGGTTCAAAATATGTCAAAAATTGTGGTGCCAAAGGTAAATCAGATAATCAAACAACTGAATATTATTATTGTAATCGTACGGGCCCCTATAAATCGGTTGGCCAAGGTTTACGTCGTTCAAAAGCACAAGGTTCACTTCGGTGTGGTATTCATTGTACATCGTCAATGAAAGTTGAAATTCAAAATGATGAAAATATTACCGTACAATATTATCCAACACATTATGGACACACTCATTTACCAGCGACAGAAGAACCATCAGATCAAGAATTCTTGAGGTAAGCAGAGAAGGTATACCTGAGTAATGTCGAAAAGTTCGAAGGCGACAAGGGTAAGACCGTACTAAATTTGATGTTGTTGGGGAAAAATATGTTTTTAATCAAAGAAAAAGTAGAAAAGGGTCATGAAAAATAATCAAAGAACATGAAATGAATATAGAATATAAGAGAACAGTTTAAAAAATAGAATATAACAGTTATAAATTGATCATCGCTTTCCTACAATAACAACAACAACAAACAGGAACAAAAAAGAACAATTATAAAGAATAGAAGTTAAAAACATTTTACAAAATCAGTAATTTAACAAAATCTATCTAAGAATCGATCATTTTTTTGTTTTGTTTTGTCTTTAGCAACAACAAATGATAAACTTTCTAAATATTCTTCTAAATTCATTTCATAATTTTCATAACAATCAGTCAACGATGTTGTATACAACACGTACACTTTTCCTTTCGACATTTTTAGTTTTCGACATCACTCAGTACATTCGCAGAGAAAAATGTACAACATTTTTTTTTTATTAAAAATATATATTTATAGAATGCAACATGATCAACAAAATGCTACTGCTAGTGTAATAACCAATATAGCTCCTCATCATGTTGATGATTCCACCACACAAAACTTACTTCAACAATTTCCATGTAATTCATCGAGTAGTTCTCCATCTGCATCAAGTAGTTCTACTTCATCTACAAATTCCACTAATGTTCAAATCTTGATACCAAACCAAGATGGTGGTCAAACGTCAGGCAATGGTGGTACCACTTTGACATCCATGAATAATCAATTGTCACATTGTATTATTATTTCACCATCTTATATGGAACAACATGATCAAACTATTCAGGTAAATATTTCTACGTACAGAACAATGTAGTTGGATCTTCTATTACTTTTCTTTTTTTTTGTATATATTTTAGGTTCAATCTGAACCACAATATTCCACTAATCAACATGTCCATCATGTACATCAAACTCTTCTATTACCACCACCTGTACCCCAACAATTTCCTGTTCTTATTCATCCTGCACCTGTTTATTCACCGGATGTTCTTGTAAAAAAACCTGTTTCACAAGATCCAAATTCAAAATCTGTTTCAGAAATAATGCGTGAAACATTTCAATTATTATCCTATTGGCCATTAGATTCAACGATTCTTGTTGGTAGTCAAACAGAACATGTACATCCATCACAACATTTGAATATGGAGGAACATTTAATGTTTTAATTTATTTTCTAACCTTATTTTTATCTATGGGAACAATTTATTTAATCGAACAAAAAAAAAAAAGAATTATATCTATTTAGGGCGTTATGTGTTTCTTTTGCTTGTTTTTCTTTTTTTTTGTTTTTTTTTCTTTTGCTTGTCTGTTTTATGTGTATGCAAACTACTAAAAGCTCTAAAACAGTGATTAGGAACGGTATACATCTTGCCGGATATATGTAATATCTGTATATGTTATATTTCATTTTGTTTAAAAATTTATTATTCCATAAGAGAATGTACCATAAAAATGTCATTTTTTTTTTTGCTTTTTTTCTTCTTTTTTTTTTTAATGCACATATACTTTACACGTGTAATTTTTTTTCTTCTCTACTGTTCTTCACTATTTTGACAGATGTGTCAAGTATTTTGTGTAGGTGCTTTAAACCTTCCTCGAGTTGTTGTTGTTGTTGTTTTTTATATCATGTTGGTTCGAAGGATAAGATGTAGAGTAGAAGTCTACGGGATCAAATTTATTTTTTGTTTTGTTTTTTTTTGTTTTCGTTTATCATTCGCATTTTGCATTCCCGTAAGAATCAATATTTTCTACTGTTTACATTCCCAAACAAATATCCTAGTGAGAAATTCACGTGTTTCATTGTAATTTTCTCTTTTTTTTTTTGTGCAACAGTGTGTATTTTCCTTCAAACTTGTTTGGTTGATCAACGAAGAATGGATACAGAAATTGTAAATAATTCGTTCTGAAAGTACAATTCTTATGCTTAGAAACTCAAATGAAGAGTGTCATTTTTTTGTCTTATTTATGATGAACACTTGTAAGAGCGGTAGATACTTCCATAACTATGATGCAATCATGAGAAATTCATCATTTCATCAAACTTATAACGGATCAGACAGAAAAAAATATTTTTTGAAAATTTGACGAGAAAATACATTTCATCACTTTTTCTTTGATCATTCCAATTCATAAAATTGTTTTTTTTTTGTTTTGTATTTCCATACCCGTACTGTAACGATAACAGAACCGATTTTTCCGCTAATCTCGACTGTCGAGGGACCAACTAATATAAAATTTCACTAGTTAGTTTAGGCTATATCGAAAACGCTAACTTAAACTGACAGTCTCTAAAGTCATTTAGACTTATTTTGGAATTAGAGATCGATTATCTTTGATTTTGTGATTTTAAATATCGTCTTACATACACACACACACACACACACACACACTCTCTGAAGTTAGATGAACTGTTTCTCTTTCTTTTTATTTATATAAAATGATCAAATTTTTTGTTGTTCTTTCTACACTTCCAAATGAACATGTTAACTAAGAGGAAAGATGAAGAGAAAGAGAGAAAGAGAGAGAGAATATACTCGTTTTCATTGGGGTTCTTTTTCTTTTCTATTTTTTTCTTTCCTTCTGTGCTTTCCTGTACAGTGTGCACTGTAATAAGAAATCGTGTTGTTTCGATCAAATAAGACGATGTATGTTCTCCAAGAACAAATACAATCATTTTTTCGTGGTATATATATATATTTTTTCTTCTATGTCATTCCTTCTTTCTTTTTTTTTGTACGTGTGCGTAATTTTTTTTATTTCGTATAGCTATATATATTTTATTTTCGAAATAGTACATCACAAACATCGAATTATTTACACACACACACACACCACACATACACATTCTACTTTATGGTTCTTACTTAAATATCATCCAAAACTTTTGGATTATAAATTTGGCTTTTGTGTTTTGTTTTCCTGTTTTTTTGTTTTTTTTTGTTTTGTTTCTTGGATAATCTATCATATATGCAAATCAAGATGAAAAATTTTTTTTTATTTGTCTTTGTTTGTTATTGTCATTTATTCTCTTCTTCTTCTTCACATACACCTATATTTTGATTTTTCTTTTTTTTTTGTTCATTTTTATCATTCTCTCGTTCTATATATGTATCAAATTATAAATAAACAGAAAATGAGGATAATACGATATCAAATTTTTGACATTATTTTAAAAAGATCTCATACGAGAAAAGATTAGTTGTTGTTTTTTCAATTATTATCAATTCTAAAACAGTATTTTTTTATCAAATAAAATTAAATGTATACATTCATTTATACACCGATTTGATAACATATCTTGTTTTTCTTTTCAATTAAGGTTGAAAGAAGATTAGAATATTTTGAAAAATGAAGATATAATGATTTGAATTTCATATTCGAATACTTCGAGTTTCGTTCCTCATTCTAACTAGAGAATTGTCGGTACTTCGGTACCGCTAAAGTTCTCTATCAATGTTTGGCAGCTGATACTAGAGACCGTATTTCATCGGTTGAAGGTTTTGAAACATCTGCTCTTTTTACACTGTTTTTCGTCAAAAAACTAAAATTTCACGCCTTTTTCAGTCAGTATAAATAAAGATGATGCTCAGGACAAATATTATCTTCATCACTTGTTTTAAGATTAAATATTATAGACTCGTTATCGTACAGGTTCTCTCAGATGTGCTGCTCGCAAACTATGTCACTTCTGGAGGAAAAATCTTTCTAAAAATCAATTTTCAAAAAACTTTGCCAGTTTTTCGCTGGTTTGAATTACAATTCCAACTGGCCAGTTTACCAGCTGATTTACCGTTTCTCAACCGGTTTCCTCTCTGTACTGAATCGCATCTGCTGTTATGTTTTTTTCTGAGTTCAGCTACATGCTACAGTCTCTTATGTTTACTTTCTTCTACACGTGTTCATAATGGTCATATACGGAACAACTGATACAAACAGAATAGAAATCTGTTTATCTCTCCTTTAACGTTGCTGAATAATACGGTGTATACGCTGTAAAGTAAAGTGATAAGATAACATCTGTATTTCACAATAAAAATGGTATAAAAATTAATTTTTGTACAGCAGCAGTCATTTATTTAATTTAATAATTTAAATTTACCTTGACGTTTCGACTCTTCATAGAGTCATTTTCAAAAGTGAATTACAAACTATTTGTTTTCGGTAGTTTGTAATTCACTTTTGAAAATGACTCTATGAAGAGTCGAAACGTCAAGGTAAATTTAAATTATTAAATTAAATAAATGACTGCTGCTGTACAAAAATTAATTTTTATTCGCTTGTTGGCTCTAAATCGTAATAATGTTCAATAAAAATGGTATTATTTTAACAATAAGATGGAAAAAGAGAAGACTAAAAATGCTGAGGAAAAACGTAAGGGACGGGAGTCATCATGATTTAAGTAGGAAAAAGCTTCTTGTGAGTTCAAAAATAGATGTAGATAATGAATAAAGTTTCGACACTTTCGGTACGATTCTAATGGTTGGTACCAAATGCTCGACACCGGTGCCGACAATTATCTAATCCTAACCTAATTCTTATATGACGGATGGCACATAAAGAATGAATCACGTTTTCAACTAATTTGAATGTGAGACAATGTGTTTTCCCTCCGAAGTAGTATTCAAAATACGAAATATTCTAATTTTCTGAACTACATCATACTCTTTTCGTTCTACGATTGTGAAATGAAACGAATAGAGCCATGATTTTTACAAAGAAACATCCAAATTATCTGAAAAGATTTTATATGCTGTACAGCAGCAGTTACCTCTATTCATGTCAATTTTTGCTAAAATTTTAGAAAAATTCAAGTTTTTCATTTAAAATTTACTTTAAAAGTTTGATTTCTATGTCACAAGGTATGCAGAATTTAATTATGCACAGGATTATACGATTTGTAAAATGAAACCTAATGAACCCCGAGGTAATCTATACGCTAGAGTGAAAACTCCTGAACATGGACGAGGAGTTGACCATGTCCATTTTTTTTGTTTTTAAATCGTTATGTGAGCCGTTCTTTCAAAATTTCGAACTGTAAATGAACAAATAGAGAGTTTTACGACGAATTTTTTTCATATACTTTGAGATTAGTAGAAATTTCTTTGAAAACGACAAGAACATTTTATGTTTTTTTTTCAAATGGCACAGTGCAGAAAACTAGGAAATTTCATACGTCGAATACTGTTTCAGAGGAAAACACGTTGGCTCACATTCAAATATATATTTGTGTAGGAAATTAAATTCTCTATCGAATGAGCTTATTTTGGCAGTTTTGTGTGCTGACGACATAAAAAAAAATCAGTTGCAATTAGTTGCTTTTCTGAGAGAATTGTCTATTCTTTTCATCCCATTCTTTCTTCTCGCTCTTAGAATGAACAAAATAAAGCATTTTCAAGTCTTTCTTCGTTTCAGTGGGATATCGCTTCACTCATGAAACCAGAAATATCGGATTCAAAACATTAAAATTAGAAAGTAAAAGTTTAAAAAAAGAGATTTAAAATCAGAAAACCAGAACATCTTAGCAGAATAAAGAACAGAAATAAAACAGAAAAAAATCCATATACAACGTTTCTTACGAGGATCAAATTTAAAAAACTTCCGATGTTTGCCGTTTTATTGCGAAAATTATACTCATAAAAATTTTGAATAAAAATGCATAGAAAAAGTCACAATTCATTCAAAAATCAAATTAAATGATTAAAAAATTTTCAGATACACTCAACTGTACACGTATGATATGATCAAAATTCTGCTTAGTTTAAAAGAGAGAAAATAATTATTTTTTCATATAGTTTTGACGAAACTTAATAGATAACAAGACATTATCTTCTCAATTCGTATCTCTAAGCTTAACAATAATTGACGCTAGATTTAAGCAAATGGAGTAAAATGGCTCTAGATTATTGTTTCTTTTTTAATAATCATAATATGACGATGTTTTCGTAAAGCGATGTCTAGTCATCGTTCTAGATTTATGCGATAGAATATGGTTTATAAATACGAATAATCAATGAAAGTTTAGCCTACAGAGTATCCAACTAAATTGAGAATTATATAATCTAAAAATGTTTCGAATTGAATACTTTTGATTGCACCAAACATATCATAACTACGACAATAATCAAATTGATGCAAATGTGTCAAATAGAATCGACAAACAACTTGT